GCATCCGCCCCCCATGACCATTCAAATCACCCAACAACACCACAAACTCATTCAACCCCGCTTGCCCAATCTCGTCAGAAACATCATCATAAAACCTATCCTTCTCCTCTTCCTTCCTACTTTGTTGCGGAGCATATCCTGATATCACCCTCACTATTACTTTTCCAAACACCATCACCACCACAATTACCCCATTGCTTCTCCGCCTCACTTCCAACACCTGCTCCAACAACTCTTCTCTTACCATCACACCAACTCCTCCCGTACCATCATCCCCCTTCCACCACAACTTATATCTTCCACCTTTAGCCCCCACAAACCTTGTACCCTCACCCTTCCATCTGACCTCCTGTAATGCAGCCACGTCAACCATTCTCCTCTGCAGCTCCTCCACCACTTCCAAACTTCTTCCTGTCAACGTGCCTACATTCCAGGTACCAAACCTCCAACCCCTTGGTTTACAAGTAGTCCTTCCATCTATAGTGCCTTGCACCGCCACACTATAGAGTGGGGTGCCAGTAGCCAGACCATCCACAGGGCCTTGCACCACAACCCCATCGACTGGGTCTCCGGAGATTCTTCGCACCCTCTTCTGCCGGATACTGAGGGCCATTGTTTTCTCCGTCATCATCATAAGCATTTATTATTTGGCTAGTTTTTACACAGGACGCCCTTCCTTACGCAACCACAGTTATAAGCGGTGGGCCTAGCCTTTGATGATCCAACATCACTCACAAGGCAGTGAGGGTCAGTTTAATGTCATAACCAGGACATTGTCATAACCAGGACATAAATCAAATCAAAAGCAAATAAAATCAAAAATACTTTTCATTTACCAGAACAAAACACAAACAAAAAGAAAGTTTGAATAACATTCTGGCTTGGAGACCAAGCTAGTTTAACATGGATGAACTTTATAGGCCACCAATTAATTATAACACACACATATATATACACAGATATAAAACATGAGGTTGATTATAATAGTTCATTAGAATAGTTCAATTTGATGAATATATGTATATACAGATATATATGGTGAAGTTCAGAAAATAGTTATAATTCAAAAAAATACACAGACAAAACATGAGGTTCAGGCATAGTTCGAGAATATGTTTTTAAACATATACAAAACATAAGATTATAAAAAATTATTACTCAATAGTTCTTCTAGATTATAATTGGTTTTCTAATATTAAAAATTTCATGTTTTTAGTGAATAGACTTAAATTATTGAACAATTTGAATTTTACGTGTAAATTATTCCACAATGAAACCCCATGGAGAAAATGGAAGACTTTAATATCATCAATCTAGGATAAGGTTGTTGATAATCTTTATATTGCTTTAAGTTTTTATGATTAAGACAAGGAGTTTGGAAAAAATTTTAAATGTTTTGAGGTAATAATTTTTTATGAACTTTATACATAAATTTGAATGAGAAAAGTTTAAAAATTTGATTCAAATTAAGGATTTATCCTTTTTTAAAATATTGAGAAATATGTTCTCTTTTTCTTATTACAAAAAAGCATCTTATAAAATAATTATATGCTAAGCTTAAATGATTTAGATGAGATAATGCACTATTTCCCCATAAAATTACTCCATAAGTCAGATATGGATATATTAGGCTGAAATAAATATTTTTACTGATATTTAAAGATAGCTGATTGTTAATGTAAGTACATTCAGCCTTACGAACAGTGGTAACATTTTTTAGTCAAAATTTCTTATTAATGCTTTTGGTTTGAGGAGGTATAATTGTATATATATATATATATATATATATATATATATATATATATTTTTGTTGGGCAACAAAAAAGATAAATAATTTTTGTCGATAAACCACTCTTAACTTGAATTGCCCAGATTCCATATCATTTAAGGTGGTCTGTAATACGCAGCGAACATTTTAAGAGCTTTTTTTAGTCAAAATTTCTTATTAATGCTTTTGGTTTGAGGAGGTATAATTGTGCCCTATAATATAGGAACAGTGTGGGTTGAATGTTTTTGTGTTTTATATTTAGTCTTGCCAGATAAATATAAAAAGTGGATATTTGTCTTGATGTGAAAAAATTGAAAAAATCATTGAAATAAGCTGGAAATAAGATCATTCAAAGATTTTTATATGAATAATGATTGTGCAAAATAATTTTATTGTTGTATAGTTAATATTTTAGAGCTACAGTTGTAGTCAGTTGTTTTGAGGTTATAAAATATATGAAAAAAACGTTTCAGACATCTTAGTAAATTGTGTAGCAAATAATTAAGACTATTTATGTTGCTATTATTAAGATTTGGACTAATAAAATTATTTTAAATTTGTATATTTGTTTGACGATCAAGCTTGTTTTAAATTTTATTCATTAAACATAAAAAATTAAATATTTTTAGCATAATTTTTGGCATTAGTTTCAATAAACTAAATAAAATAAATAGTTTCAATAAAAAATTTTCCAATGCAAAACATTACATAAAAAAGATTTATCATTTGAAGAAAAATGTGGTCATCTAATGTTATTTAGTTTATTAAATCTTAAATTGTTTGATATTGTTGAAGTACATCTATTTCCACATAACAATTTTAATTTTGTGCAGTTATATTTGTTTATGTTAAGGTTTTAAAATTTTTTGACTAATTCACCTTATACTATTGGCACATTTATATCCAAAATTTTTTTTATCTCGTTTAATTTTAATTCAACAAAATTACTTTGAAGGCGTTTAAATTAATCAGCTTGTACCTTCCAAGTTACTTAATGTTTATTATGATGTTGAATGGTTTCCACTGCCCTTTATAATTGTGTAAATTTTTTATTATTTTTCTTTGTAGTTGTTAATCGGCTGTTTAAAATGTCGAATAAAGCTCTCAAACATTTGCAAAAAGAAAAAGAAGATGTGAATTCTTTTTCAAATATATCGGAAGAAGAACTTGGTTTGCAAAGCTCCCCCATAACGCAGAGAAGGAACATTTTTGAACTGGTGCCTGCAAGTTTTCATATTGATACATTACGAATTATAGTGGAATATTTTTTCATTCACATATGTGTTTGTTTCTATGAATATTAGCAAGTTTTAAAATATATTATCAGCTTGACGAAGAAGGTCAAAGTGATTTGTCTGAAACGTCTGAAGATGAGCAGGAATATCAAGTCAAAAAACAAAAAGGAAAAGCAGCTTTTTCAAAAAAAGTTAAAAAGGTATTTTTATTAGTTTTTTCTTCAAAAATCAAACAATGTATTTTTTTATTTTTCCTGGTTTTCAATTTTAAATGAACTTTAAGATTTTTTATTTTTTCTTGGAAAAAAGTAATAAAATAGGGTAATAAAAAGAATGAATTATGAAAATTTTGGTACGTAGATGCAAGAAGATCATTGGTTTGTTTGCAATTATTATTATTATGAGTGCGTTTATAAGCGCCCCTTAAAAAGACCTCAAAGGCGAAAGTAACATCCGAAATCTTCTTTTTAATTTACAACACCAAAAAATAGAAAATAAATAATAAATTAATAAATGCAAACAAGAGAATGATGTTTTTAAACAGTTTTACATTGTTATATTATATTTATTTTATATTTGTTTTTTTTTGTTATTATCTTTTTTTTATTTTACAAGGTTTAATACATTATTTGACTTATAAGAACATTAATTATTTTAAATTTATTCAGTATAGACTCATAGGTTTATTTAATTTATTGTTTTAAAATTGTCTTAGTTTTGAGAAAGCACAGGGACGTTTCGTCTTCGCCTTTGTTTAACTTGAGAACATCCTTTTATTTTCATTTTAAAACATACATTATTACTGTAATAAAACTTATAGTGTTAATTATAAAGATAATCTACACCTTATTTCTTCATTGGCATGAGTTTTGAGGTAACTTCGAAGTTTGACCCTTAACGCTTCAATGACCTGATATTCAGTCCTCCTGATTTGAAAGGGAGTGATAGACACTCCGACACGCAGCTGCTAATTGGCAGGGCCAACCAGTTTCTAACCGATTCAGCAATTAATGGATCCAGATTGTTGCTTATCCAAGTCAACGGAATGTCGTAAGTGCGAAGTTCGAATGCTAACTGGGATGGGATGTATTGCCTTAATATTTGCAATTTCCATTGTGGCGTTGTGTCCAACCCGTTTATAACCGACAGCATGTGTTGGAGTTTTTCGACAAGCAACTTTTTCGCCCCTGAGTCGCGTCCTTCAAAATCGTAAATTTTTCCCAGGTATTCGAAATGACCATTAAGTTCAACGTCAGGTATTGCTTTATCATCGACGGTCAACCTTGGGAGAAAGTGTTCGTATGTGCCATTTTTCTTTCTCATGCCAAAAGCGCAGCATTTGTCAATCCTCATACTCATTCCGGTTGCTTTGCACCAGGCTTGGTTCAGATTAATTAATTTCTGGGCACTGTCAGTGCTGTTGGCAATGATGGCCGTGTCGTCGGCAAACTGAGGCCAAGCTCTGGTTTTTAGATTGGTTGTGGGTCCCCATATATATCCACACTGCTGAAATTCTTTTTTTCAATTAGTTTCATCAACGGATTGAAACACAGATTAAACAGCAGGGAGGAAACAGGATCCCCTTGCAGGACCCCACGTTTAACCGGAATGGGAGGAGTTAAGCTTTCGCAACCAGAGACAGAGATTGAATAATCGGCATAAATATTATTTATTAAATTTTTAATCTGAAGAGGAATGTGATGATAATCTAGCGTTGAGGAGATGAGGTTGTGGCTGACTTCTCCAAATGCGTTACGAAGATCTAAGAGCGTGACGATGATGGTACGTTGGTGTCTCTTAGCATCGTTGATCATGTGCGTTAACATTTGGGTGTGCTCAGCCAATCCATCAACTCTAGGATAGAACCCTTTTTGAATGTTTTTATTTATTAATTTATTTGTTTCAAGAAAGCTATACATTCTATTGTTGATGAACGATGAAAATATTTTGTATAGTGTTGGTTGCAGTGTTATTGGGCGGAAGTTCGATGGGCTGTTGGTATCACCTTTTTTGTGGATTTGTATCGTAAATCCTTTTTTCCAGCATGAAGGAATTGAAGATGACCAACATTGGATTAATAGACGATGGAAAATAGTTCTGAGAATTGGGCATTTTTTGAATGGTATTATTGAGATCTGGTCTAGTGGGCATGGAGATGATCTTGATTTATATTTTCGAATGATTTTTGAGATTTCGTTGTAGCTGGGAGGATCTGTGTTGCAAGGTGTTGGCGGTGTTGAGAGTTTTGGGATCCAGTTTGGCAGCTGTTGCTTGTTGTTGTGAGTATCGCTTAGGATGGAGTGAAAGTAGTTTTTGCAGACGGTGACGCTGTATGATGGGCTCAAACTTGTAGTTGAATAAAAATCTTTTTTGCAAAACCACCAAAATCGACGTTTGAGTTGGCTTGTTGTGTTGTGCTGTTTAGTTGAGTCTGAAGATTTTGATGACGATAACTTCGATCTCAACGTTTTGCTAACCGACTTTATTTGGTTGTCGAAATGATGGTTATTGCGGCCCAAGAATTTAAGTTGTTTTAATTCTTTTTTCAACAACTTAATTGACGTTTTTGTGCCTCCGTCCGATTTAATTTTATTGTTGATGGTGCCGAAGTTGGAGGCAAAGTAGTTGTAGATCATGGTTTGGAAACCGATTGTGAATTCATTCAAATTGGTGAGATTTGGTAGCGTTGATTGGTGAAGTTGAAAATACGCGTTGGCCTCAAGCCATTGAGCAAGGCTTCGTGGAAGTCTGATTCCAAGAAGAGGCGTTTCAGTGTTTTCAACATTTTCTAGCGTCTGGTGGCTTGTTGTCGTAGGTTGTTGTTGAACGTCCGACGATGGCGAAGGTGGTGGCGTCGTCGGGGTTGATGTTTCGACGGCGTTTTCCTCATCGTTAGTTAATGGAAGTTGTTTATGTGTTTTGCACGAACGTTGGTGCATTTTTAATCCCTTGCGATCTTTACAGAACCTTCCGCAGCAACGTTGAATTAAATTGTTATTATCCATATTAACAGAATAATTATTGGCAGTATTTGAGTTAAAAATGTTGGCAGAAATATCCACATTTGAATTTGCTGGCGAGTGTACAGTGTTAACGTTAAAATTAGCTGTATTTTTCGTGCAACGCCAGGAATGTCTGCCAACATTAATAAACGATTTATTGCAATATTCGCATTTAGTTGCATTAACTTTAGAAATTATGATTAAAATTAAAATAAAATTTAAAAAGTAATAAAATGAGATTTTCATAAAAGCAGCCATATTCCCCGCAATTTTAAAAACAATATGAACCTAATTTAAAACTGATTTAAAGACATTAAAAACGAAATTATGTATAAAAACAGTGAGCTGAAACATTTCTGCCAACTCTCGTGCCTACATACATAATAATAATAATAATAATAAAATGTTTTTGTAATGTATCTATTGTGTAAGTTATCTGGATTCTTAAAATACATAAACTTCTGTATGAACTCAACTGGATTGAGAGAAGCCATTGAACTGAACATGGGCATGTCAAAATACACTAAATACCAGAATAATTGTTTTATGATGTGTAGTATTCCATTGCTCTGCTTTGTTAAATTCAAATTTTTGTAATCGAATTAGTATTATTTAAAAGAAATATAAATATATATATATCATTTTCGGTAATTTTTTAGTTGTACTTTGTTGAAAACTATAAAGCTTCATAAACTGTTGCACAATGTATAAAAATAAATTTTAATTTAACCTTGATTTGTCAGCATTGTCTGGCTCAAGTTGAATGTCGGTTTGAAAACAAACAGGCAGTGAAAAAATTTAATATGTGAATACTTGTGAATATTTTTACATTTTTGATAAACACCAAATATACAAATTTTTGAAATATGTTTACATTTTAGGGGACACTGTAGAACATGATATGGACTCATCAAACAAAATGTAATTTTCATATTCTGTAAACCATTTATAAAAAATAAGTGGACAGGTTTTGGTCAAACTGCTCGAAGTTTTTGGCATTTAAACAAGCACAAAAATGGCTAAAATGGCTCGAATTTGGCATGCATTATTGATGCCTGGAATTTTTGTAAAATTTATGAAGGTGATTTTATTCTCAGTTAAACGATTAAAGACACAAGTTAGGTGGTAGAAAAACTGTCGTTTTTCCAGCTACCTGCTTAAGATGGACAGAAAATTGTTTTAATTTTTTATAGTTCGATATCGACTTGAATTTGGGAACCCCAGCAACAAATCTAGCAGCAGCATACAAAATCGACTGAATGCAATCTAGATGAGATAATTTTATTTTATACATATGTAATGTGCTTTTGCTGAATCAAATGTCAAATAACTTCTTATTGTTCTGATTCGGTGTAGATTATAAAACTATTTCTGGTAGGGCGAATTTACATGTTATTCCATAGAGAGATCGGCGCCAAGAAGGATACCAAGATTTTTAACTGCAGTTGAGCCTTTATTTCTATCTTTGAAAATCTGATGGCACACAAAACTGCTAAGTGGAACAAAAGCTTGGAGCATGTGAAGCGAGTCCCGCAACATCAACTGAGTTATTCTTCTTTTTGACACAACTTGCTGAAACAGATAGATGTAAAGCTAAAAATATTCCAAAGTGATTTGTGAAAAAGCTTTTAAAATATTTTAATGGAATACATTTAATTTTAGCCATTAGCCATGCAACAGTTCATTCTTGCCGCAAGATTATCTTTATGACAAAAAAAGAATCTGTACTATGAAGATGAGGGATATATTTGGTGTAGAAAATTTTCTATTAAGTTATGAAATTTAAATTAGTATCGACATTTTTAATCAGTGTAAAAATATTGTTGTAATTTGTTACTGAAGCTTGATCTGGTATGATCAGTTGCTTTCAAGACTCAGCTTTACTTTATTATTTTTTTTTATTTATTTTTTTTTATTACATTTTATTTTCTAATTTTTTCCTAATTTTTCAGACTTCGTCAATTAATTTTTCAAAAAATATCTCCCTTGATACAAAAAGTGACAATCAGGAGCAAACAAATGTTGAAAAATCTTTTCTTTCTGTTGAAAATAGGTTTGTAAAATAAGTTGTCAGAAATTTTATTCATTCTGTTATTTAGAAATCAGTTTTTGTCTGACAAATATGTAAGTAAATACACACCCAGAATATGTACATGCTGATATATTATATCATTATCATCATCTTCGACATAAGCGTTGATAGACGTGTATTCTGGGCCAAGTGTCCAACTAGCAAAATTTTATCTAGTCTAGAATGGAAAATAAATTAGCGGAAAATAAATTAGCGGCTTTGATGGTTTTCTAGATCTCGACTCGATCAACAATGAAATGCTACTAAAAAGTTGTCTGTCAGTGGTATTCAAGATACTCAACTTTTTTGGCTTAAAATTTACTTGTCTAACCGATCACAGCTTGTTTCTTTAGGTTTATGTGAATCTCTTATTAAGGTTCGGTCCTGGGAGCACTTTTGTTTTGTTTCTAATATTTATTAACGATTTGGCCTCTGTCACCAAATTTATGTATTTATGTTTGACAAATATTTACCAATGACACTGCTTTTCTTTGCTTTGGCAGAAATATTGACGAAGTAGCCAAACTGTTGAACATCATATCATCAACATCACATTATCAGCATCACATCATCAGCATCACATCATCAACATTACATCAACAACACATCATCAACATTGTTTACATTACATTTTCAATGGTTTTAGATATCTCAATCCTGACAATGAATTAAAGAAGATGTTCGGCCCGAATAATTTTTCTAATAAGAAAAAGTTGGCTGATAACATTTCTATTTGTAATTTTGCTGTTTTTATCAAAATGTGCTATTCACGGTCGAATGTATTGAATGTATAAAATTGTTTGTAATGGTGATAGATAATTGCGTGTTGATGAATATTTACTGAATGTTCAATGTTGGTTGAAAGGAAAAGTTCAAGCGGGGGCTTGCGATTGGTTACATCTCCACCAAACTTCCTTTGGATGAAAAATTCTGGTTAGTTGGTTATTTTTAGATTACTTTTTTACCTTCATGCTAATTTATTAAACGTCTGAGGTTGACAAATAGTTTTTTAACTTTAAATTTAAAAAATTTTCAGTTTATCTTGTATTAATTTAATATTGCATAATTGTTTACATTTTTCTTTCACACGAGTTTTATTTAGTTGAATCATTTAGATGGAAATTGATGGATAACTTTCACACTGCATAGTTTTTGTAGTTGTAATATAAAAATCATGCATTCCACTCTATCCATCCAGTTCTTCAGAAGCAATCATTTGAAAGCAACAATTTTAATAATGTGACATCATAATTGTTTACAGTTATTTAATGCATTATAATGTGACCAAAGGTTTGAAAATGGAATTAGTAGAGAAGAAATGTGGATTGTTATTTTTCAAGATGCAACAGAGCAAATCCTATCAAGACATCCAAACACAATTTGAAAATGGAGTCTCACCACATGACCCGTCTTTTGTTGTGGTTGTTAATTTTTTATTTTTCTCCACTTAATTTATATTTACTTATATAGTTATTACTTCTTCACAGAATTTCCTTCAAGATTTTCCCTACCATCTCGATGCTTTGCTGCAGCTGTATCATTTTTTTTTAACAAATCACGAACTGGTCAAAGCAAACGAAATTATTGGTAAATTTTTTCAATGTTGCTCGTTTAAGGTTCATTATTCTCCATTCCGTCAAAACAATTGCTCATAGGGTAATGTAATTAGGTAACGATCAAGTTTAATTTGATTTTGGCGTGACAATATTAGAGATATCTAGACAAATTATTATTCATTGCGTAATATGATGGGCTGTAAATGCCACACGATCGACAAGTTATTTGAATTATGTTTGTTGGTAGTCTGCTTGAAAATGTACGTAATTTTACAAAATTATTTTGTTGAGCAATTTCACCCGAACATAATTTTAAAACATTTTTTTACTTTGTTTGCCGCTAATGTTGGTGACCGAGCCAGGGTTTGGGATTCACTGATGTGTATTGTATATTATTAATTTATTGTCATCATTGCTTAGAAACATGAGTCCTTCATTAAAGTTCAATTCTGGTGCAATCCACGTGTCTGACATAAACTCCAGTCATGCTTCGGTTGGGTCGTTGTTGTGGAGAAAAACAATTTAAACTGAATTAGGATATTTGTACAAATGTACATTTCAAAATTCACTGCTATCCACTTCGGCGAAATTTTTTAATTTGGTTCAAACTTTCAAAATTTTGTAACATTTACTTTGATGCAGTAATTAAATCTACCGAATTTCTAGCATTGGATTAGTTTAATTACATTTCTCAATATTTCGAACTGTTTACAAGCGGATTAAATCATATTTGTCGAAACGCACACAGCAGGTTTCGTAAAAAAATTCAGTATCTGAGGTTTCAAATGTAACAACGGTAGCGCCACAGGGCTCAGATTTAGCACTCGTTCTCTTCCTACCGTATACGGCGGACATAGCCAAAGTAATCAAATTTTATGTTTTCAGCTGTCACGCGTTTTCAGCAGGTGATGGTTACTAGTCATCCGAGCTTGTTTAAATATGAGGTCAATAGATTTGTAAGATATCTGTCAAAGATTGGGTGTTGGATGTCATTAAAAACAACACACGTTTAGACGACATTTTCCCCGAGATCGGGGGTTGCCGTTTGGCTACCTATGATGAAACCAAAATACCCCTCGACGCCAGCCACATCTGTCACTCGCCTCAGTATCACGCAACCCCGCTTTCACCCTGTCCTTCTCCACCTGCTCTCTCCATCCCAATCGCGGACGACCCCTTCCTACCGTTCCTTCAACCTCGAACTCCAACGCTCGTCTAATCCCGACCCTTTCATCCCTTCTCAACACATGTCCATACCACCGCAATCTCGATCTCCTTATCAATGTCACAATGTCCTCATTCAGTCCCATCATTGACATCAGCTCTATACTACTCCTCCTATCCTTCACTTTAACCCCACACATCATCCTCACCATAGCTCTTTCAGCCCTCTGCAGTACACTTTCCTCCTCTCTCCTCAACACCCAAGTTTCACCACCATATACCATCGCTGCTCTCACACATGCTTTATATACCCTCCCTTTCATCTTCACTGACCATTTTTTTCCACACAATACCCCACCCAGTTTCCTAAATTTCATCCATCCTACACGAACTCCAGCCGTAACTGCGCTCAAACATTCTCCATCCGCGTTCAGCTAAGTAAACAAAGCTTTCCACTCTTTCAATACCACCACTCAACCCCGTCCTTGCGTCCGTCCTTTTAATCACACCATGAATTAAATGTCATTAAACTTGCTCAAATTAAATGAATGTAAAATTTAATTGCTTCCAGTTGGAACATGGCAGCAGTTGTCGAAAATTGATTTCAATTTGGTTAAAATAGGAGAAGCTGATATACCATTTAGTGAAAAAACATTCAGCCTGGGAGTTGTGTTTGATACCAGATTATCAATGAAAGACCACATCAAAAAAATTTCAGTTTCATGTCTTATTTACCTCAGAAATTTTTATCGAATAAGACACTCGTTGAATAGACAGAAATTAGAAACGTCAGTCGATCTAAAACAGAGCTGCAAAGCTGGTTACTGGTGGACTGAGGCGTGATCGAGTGACATCAGTCTTGAATGAGCTTCACTGGTTGACAGTAGAAAAAAATGAATAGTTTTCAAAATTGCAGTGCTCATGTTCAGATCTATGAATGGTACGTCGCCGAAAATTATGACAAGCGAATTCACCAAAAAGTTGACCACATCATATTCCCATCTGAGGTTGGACGATTTGAATCGGTTGCATGTGCCAGTTACACGTTTGGAATCGACTCGCGAAATATTGCTATTGCAGGTCCTGCTGTCTGGAATACCCTTTTCAACGGCGTGAGAAACTGAACAGTGGATGAAGGATCCATTCATAGATCTGAACATGAGCACTGCAATTTTGAAAACTTTTCATTTTTTTCTACTGTCAGCCATTGAAGCTCATTCAAGACTGATGTCACGCGATCACGCCTCAGATCAGATCTTTCATTTATTTTATTCAAGAAAGAATTAAAGACATATTTATTTTTTGTTAAATTGTGTTAAATTTTGTTTTTTTTTCAAGTTTGTTTTTCATGGAAGTCACGTACATTAATTTTGTTTTATATCTGACGGCGCTTTTAAAAATTTTTAATTAGCGCTGTATATATATATATATATATATATATATATATATATATATATATATATATATATATAAATTGATATGTATGTATTGTATATATATATATAATTTTTAAAGTTTTAATTAATAAATGCTCCACTGTTATGTTTAGAGAGATCTCTGTGTGTCTGTGAGTACATCCTTCATCCACTGTTCAGTTTCTCTCAAGGGAATTGTAGACTCGATTACGAAATAAAAGAAAACAGGTACAACGATTTAATTTGTTTTATTGTATTACTTTATTATTTTATTATTGCACCATTCTAAGTTATTTTTACTCCTACCAATAAAGAAATCTTAGTTTAGTCTGACAAAGCTATTTTTGCTAACTTTATGAAATGGTGTTTGAGAGATAAACATTGTGGATAAGTTGTATTAGTTAAGCAAGAATGTTTGCATGTTAATGTAATGCTGATTTCAAATTCTTTATTATCACGTGGTTCTTCATGTTTTCGGCATCACAATGTTTCATGACGTTCTGTAGGTTGCTGCTATTCAGCAACAATGAGAAATAACTGCACTGGAGGTAAATAGGGCATGGTTCGAATACTGTCAGTCCGAACTCAAGGACCATCATAGGCATATGATTGGGTGCTTGCGCGTGCATGCATAATGTGTATGTGCATTGTCTAGTGAAGGTAGTACAGCCTTTGTAGCACGAAAGTTTAGTTTCAAGTATAGAATAACATGTCAGCAGCTCTGCGTTTGACAGAGCTGCATTATAAAGAATAAAAAATATAGCATCAGTCAATTGCCTATGCAACATACAATACATACTATTTAATATATTTATTTAAGATTCAATCCAGAGTAGCATACAAGCATAGGTCGTTGATGATGTGACGTGAAAACATATTGTTGTTCACATTCAGTCACATTGTTCACCTGTATTTACATGTTCACATGCATTCACATGTTGTTGTTCACATGCATCCACATGTTGTTCACATGCCTTCACGTGTTGTTCGCATGCATTCACATGTTATTGTTCACATGTTGTTCAATGCCTGGAGAAGAATAATATAGAATTTTTTCATTAAAGTTTGCCCCATAAATGTTGTAAATTTAACAAAGTTAAATATTATATGAGGAATGTATACATACTTTTTCAGAGCTTTTTACTTGGTGCTCATGAAACGAGCTGTCCTGCTGCACAAGAGAGGCTGCTACAGAACATCACTTGAGTTAATTAAACTCATTTTCAGGTTAATCATAGTTTCATTGAATGAATAAAGAAAGGCCATTATTCTGAACAACACGTGCCGAAGCAATTACACACATACGCACACGCACGTACACCCACATACACACAAGTACATCACTTGCTCATATGTGTGTCTCACACATATTTCACTGAATCAAAAAATTTTATTACAAAAACTTGATCCTTGTTCATGAATCTAGTCTAAAAAAAATTGTGGGCAACCATTAATAAATTACTAGTTAAATTTTCCACCAGTCATTCAGTCGATGAATATAATATAAAGTTTACCCTATCACAATTTGCAACATTTTTTAGTGATAAGATTAAAAAAGTTAGAGAATATACAAATTCCTTGTTTTGAGCCTCTAAGTGCTCCTGTTGATTTAGGGTTGTCTGACTCGTTCAGCTTTTTTATTCCATGTTCTGGTGATGAAATTAAGAGAGTTGTGCTCAGTTCACCATCAAAGACATTTTTCCATGACTTATTCCTGTGTGTATTTTCAAACAATATATAGATTTGTTCATACCGTTTATCACATTTTTTTATCAATTTGTGTTTTGACACGGGTTATTTTCCTAAGACGTTAAAACATTCCGTTGTGACTCCCTTATTTATACATAGGACCTGTGTGTGTTTATGGTAATATAGTTTATGTAAATAGATGCATGTATATTTATCTCCATTTTTTCCCTGCAGTTTATCACCGGAATCAGATCCGTTGGCACTGTTGCTGTGCATTGATGTTTATGCTTTGAAAGCTGCCAACTATTCTTTTCTTCTGCAATTTGCGAACAAGTGGAAGGAAGATAAAAATCTTTTCCACCTGCCGAATTTCGCTTTTTCGGTTGCATTGGCTTTATTCCATTCATCCAAGACTAATGAAAGTTTGTCAATAAAAGCCGATAATCAGGTAGTGGATTGAGTTTTAAGAATTGTTGGTTGAATTTTAATAATATTCGTCGTGTTGCAGCCTGTTTCTTATTCCGGCTTTTGAATGACTTAGAAAATTAATTTCTGAATACATTTTTGAAAATAAATAATTTTTTTTACAATTCTGATGTTTTTTATTCTGCAATTCTGATCAGACTTTTTTGTTTTCATTCTTTTTCTAGAAGATTATAAGTTGTTATCACATTAAAATTTTGTAATTGTCTAACAACTTTCATTTCAGTTGACCATTTGATATGATTTTATTTAATGGTTTTTCAAAATTAGTCGTTATGAAGCAAATAATTAATTTGTAATTTAAAAATAAATAATTTTATACAAAGTTTCAAGATGTCTTGTTACTCTTTCCAAGTTTCATTCCTGCAGTTTTTGCTGATTCATTCGATGATCCCATATTGAAGCATCACTTGTTCACCAATCAATGGTTTGTTTTATTAGACGACACATAAGTTTTGTGCAGTAGGCTTGGGTGGAGTGGGGTGATGAGTTCTCTGCAGCTTCTATGAAGTTTTTGTAAATTTATTTACAACATTTGCAATTGGTGGATAATTTGATGAATTTTGGAGTATCGGTTGATCGGTTAATTAATCGGTTGATTGATTGGTTGATTGATTGATTGGTTGATTGATTGATTAAATGGATTGGTTGATTGATTTATTATTGTAATTAATTGATTGGTTGATTTATTAGTTGAGTAATGAATGTTATTAATAGATTTAAAAAATTAATATCTGATTCATGTGGAAAGAGGAAAGATTAATTATTATTATTATTATAAGAAAATTTTTGAACAAAAAAAATCTTAAAAAATTGGGCGATTTGGCGGGAAGGTGGAAATTTGATGATAAGGTCTCAAAATTTGACTACTTATTTGTTGATGGAAAAACTGCACTAAGACAGGTAATGATGGTGATTGAAACGGCGATTGCTTGTATCATTTGTAGCCCCAAAGAATTGCGTCTGCTGATTGAGTTATACGTGTCGAGGACGAAGGACTGCTGGAGGACTGCTGAAGTTTTCATCTGGTGCAAAAGAATTATTTCTACCGTTCTAAACAAGTTTGATGAGGACAAAAAACTAGTGCTTGAGCATTCGAAACGGTATGCTATTTGTTGTGATCGTTATGAAATATTTCATTGTTAAGTTAAATAATAATATCTAATTTGACCGCACAAATGCGTTTGGTATATTTGAGGTTAAACTCGTTAGCGTTCAATGAAACTTTGAAATGGTTCTTTGTTATTTGATTAGTAGCCGCGTCGTTTTTTTCCTCTCTTTCTTCTCTCTCTCTCTTTCTCTCTCTCTCTCTCTCTCTCTCTCTCTCTCTCTCTCTCTCTCTCTCTCTCTCTCTCTCTCTCTCTCTCTCTCTCTCTTTCCTGTTTTTTATATCGGAAATTGCAGACTTGACCGATATTTAGTTTACTTGCTTGTACTATTTTGTTATTGCTTGTTACACAGCAGTTATAATTGCCCTTATCTGCTACCAGTGAAACACAAATTACGAATAAAAAGCGCACATTCCTAACTACCACTGCACGTTACTAACATATTACTAACACACGTTACTAACATGTTAATCACTTACTAACAGATCTACTTTTTCGGACTGACTTAATTTGTTAAATACTGATATTGCTTAGGGCATATCTTTCTGAAATTTAATATCTAGCAAATGATTTATTATTGGACATTTACCTAAATATGAAAGCTATATGTAGTTCATATTTTTTGTTTAAAACTTAAAACTTCTCACAATTTATTTTTTCTTTGGTTTTGTTGAATTTTGACATCAGAGCAAGAATAGCGATCAATTTGTTTTTTGTTGCATAAATGTGAAGATGTTTATGGAAAATGGAACAATTGTTACGAGAATGAGACCTGTTAATGAGTTTAAAATTTGTTCGTATAGAATGAACAGCTGGTACAGAAAAGTTCCCATCAACGTATACAGACATCTGATCGTATGCGACGTCAGTGATGTTTCTTTCGACCTACCAAATGTTAGAACGTTAATCTATTAACAATCGTTATTATCTCTATTTTCAAGTTCATTCCGTCTCTGTTTTTGTTGCTTTTTCTGTGTTGAAACAGATTTTATTATTAAATTATATAAATATATATAAATATATATATATAATTATATAAATTTTAAAGCGGGACACAAATTTGTTAAAAATTTGTCCGACTTCTTTGAAGGTTTTCTCTTTCTGACTATCAACTCACAAAAAATGTTTTCAACTTCTGCATTGCAATTTTCAATAATAAAATAATGATAAAATGAAAAATTATCTATAAAATTATATACATTCTAATTTTTAAAGATACTGAAAATAATTAAAAAAATTTGGCATTTTAAAAAACTTCGTTTTTTGATGCGTCGCAAAGATGAAAATTTTATAAGAGCGTTAAGAAGAGTAACTTTCCCACAACACCCTCTCTGGTTGGATTAATAATATTATCCTTAAGGTTTGGAATTATCGTTAAGATTTTTGTTGCAATGTCGTCATTACAATAGTTAATGAAAAAAATTAAGCAAATGAAGCACTCTAGTGAAGTTAGTTGAAATTAATATAGTTGAATGAAAAATTAATTTTCAGTGAAAGACGTTAAAACGTCATAGAAGGTAGAAACAAAAGTGCGAAACGTTTGTTACAAACTTAAGTCATAAAGAATTACATTAATAAATGCGATATTGCAGCTGACTTATTTTGAAATGTGGGGTTTTTAATGTAGTATTTTGCATTAGAGGTGAGCGGGTATTGATAATTGTTGAGTGATTCCCTTCCTTTTTTGAGTCCCATTTTACCCCAATATTTTAAACTCATTCCCATGTTTGCAATCTCATCATTTTCCCATTTCCGAAATGGTTAAACACGAATAATTTTATTTATACTCAAAAAGGCAAAAGCAAAAATTATGAGGACTTTATAATAGCACATCAAAATCTAAATATTCTTAAAACTTAAAACAATTTTAAAAGTTTACAATTATAACATTTTATTTTTCAATTTTGCTGTTTAAAAACAGAAAATGGTCTAAATTTATTCGACCTATTTTTTCTCAATAATTGTCCAGTAATTCTTAATATCCTTTCGCTCGATAATAAAATTGATACTTTGGAAGCATGGCAGAACAGTTTTGGTAGCAGAAACTCACATTTTTTCCAAAATTCAAAAATATTTAAATCTTTATTTACTTTCGAATTTGTGCATTCTATCAATTCATTCTTTTTCTGATGATTATTATACGGATCAAACTGTTGAACATCTGTCGAATTTTCTGAGTTCAGTATTTAAAATAACAAATTAAGAATTGATGTCGCCGCTTAGACATGACCTTGATAATGGTGAATTCTTTACGTATTTAAATAGATTGGTTTCATCAAAAAATCTCCATGATCTAACCAATTTCGTAATTGTTTTAGGACATTCGTGAGTTAGTGCTATACAGGCCTGGATTAAACTATGTTCAGAAAAAATCCCATTAGGGAAAATGTTTAAATTTGAAACTAAAAAATCTTGTGAACAGACAATCAGATCGAGTATACCACCGTGTTCATGAGTTGGTTCATTAAGTTTTTTAACTGAAACATATCAAATGTCTCTAACAAATTCATTGTATGACGATCATTCGATTTCTCAAGATGGATGTTAAAATCACCCAAAATTATTAGATTTAAACTAAAAGAAGCAATATTTTCCAGTAAACATTTCAAAAGTTCTTCAAAAAATAAATTAGTAACTGGTACTGATCCTGGTCTGTAGAGGGCTAATAAAATAAAATCTTTTCGTCTAATATATAATTTAAGAGCAAGAGCTTCGAACGATCTAAATATGAGTAAAACAATTTTTCTAAAGAATATAATTAAACCACCATGGCAAGGATCATTTATTCTTAAAAAAATCAACGTAATTATATCCTTGAGGAACTGAAGATTTAACAGAAATATTATTCGACGATCCATGCCAAGTCTCAACTAAAACGAAAATATCTAGCACATTGTAAATTAAATCGTAGATTGCATCCGATTTTGAGTTTATTGATCGGATATTTAATAAACCTAACGTTACATTATAATTAGTTTTTGATAAATCCCTTCTAATACTATTATTATCTTCAGAATTATTTTCAACTCTAATGTTCACATCTGCTTTCGAGGTAATTTTACCATCTTCCATCTTTCTACTGGTCCTCTTATTCTGATTTAACTCTTTTTTTTTCATAACTTTAGCTTTATCTACATAAGTTTTGTATTTCTGTATTCGATCTATTGTCAAATCAAAATTAAGGCCAGCTTGTGAGAAACCCTGCAAAGATCTGAATTGTTTTGACATTTCTCATTATGGAAAATTCCTCATTATTTTTAAGGAAAACACTATCCAACTTTATCAAAACTGGGCTAACAACAGTTTCTTGTTTTCTTCCAAGTCTAACAACCTTGATGACATTTTTATCAGAAACATCCCCAGCTAAATGATTCAAGATCTCTAGAACATTAGCACGGTCATCATCACTCTCCAATAAACGAAAAATTAGCAGGCTTGTCCTTTAGCAGGTTTGTCTCTCTTTCTTTAATTTTGTTTGTATCTTCTAAAACTTTCTGAAGAGATTTTACCTCGCTTTTGATGACGTCAAATTTTGCTAACAAAATTTGCTACTTTCTCTGCTAACGACGTTTTAATTCGTTTTTTCACAATAAAGAGAATCTTCAGAGGCGTGTAGGGTGTTTGTTAATGGCGAACCGCATGTTGGAGGCTCGGTCGCCAAATGGGAAAACCATCAAAATAAAGAATCCTCAGGCGTATGTCTGGAATTGGCCTCGCGTCAATGCTTAGACGGGCTTGGTCGGGATTTTCCCCGTCGGTGGTGATGGCTCTAGATATACTCAAGGATAATCAGACTTAAAACTAAATAAATGGACTAACAAATTGATAAATGATTGATAATGATAGCGAGTATTAATTAACTGACAAT